CGGCTGGATGGTCATGAGAGACGAGAACATTCCTGGCACAGTCGTCCGGACCAGCCCCATCCCGGAGGAGCTGGGGCGCCTCGTTTATCTGCTCACGGACAAGACAGGTACCGCCCATGCGTGTGCGCCTGGAGGGGCCGCAGTGTGTGCGTCCGCACAGGGTCATGGGGGTGTGTGTGTGTGTGTGTGTGTGTGTGTGCGTCCACTGAGGTTTATGGGGGTGTGTGTGTGTAACTATTGATTCATACTTAGAATTTCTCAGACTCTGCTCTTGAAAACTGACACACAAGTTATCTTCATCTTAATATAATGGTATCATCAGAATTAGCAAAATATTAAATTCTTAGAGATTTAAGTGACGTGTTTCTATATTTGGAACTTTCTCCACCCTTACTGTTGTTTTTTGTTTTATTCAGCTGCCTTTATTATACCTCTTTGGTGGCTTCTTAAGAGCAAAATTTGCTTGTTTTTTATGGAATGGTGCTTGTAAGCTCCTCTGTACCCTGTTTTCATGCCCCAAATTCTATTTGTCCTTATTTTGGCTTTTTCCTTTTTTCATTGGAGAATTCTTGTTCATGTGTAATGTACTAAATGAAAGACGACTGAACCCAGCAGTATAATAAAAGCTGTATCTAAGGGTGAAAATTTTGCTTTATGATTTAAATTTCTAGTAGTTATTAGTGAACCAGAAATGAATGAAGATTTGTATTAACACGGTAAAGAAAATGTCTTCAGTAAAATTCAGTATTTTTAATAAAATATTAGAGAAATCCTCACTAGAGTCAGGAAGAGGAGAAATCTCCTAACGCATGATTTAACATTCGTTACTATAGCTGTTGCAATAAGACAAGAAATAGAAATATGATACGCAACTAAAAGAAGAAAAAATATTTGCAGTATAACGATCAAGGACGGAAATCAGCTGGTTAAAGACAAGCCTTTAGGAAAGTGGCAGTTTTCAGATGAAAGTAACGGCCTAGCTCCCTCAAGAACAAGCCCGTTCCCGACAGCCAAACCTGGAGGCACAGAGAGGACAGCCCAGCGTCACAGCCAAGAGACGCCCCGCGGTCCCCGAGGTGGAGGTCACACTCCACCGATGTCAGCCTCATGGTCAAGCCACAGGTCCGCCGCAGAGCAGGCTGGTCCACCTGCAGGACTATGCGGCTTTCCTTTGGGCTGTCCTTGTGGGATGTGGAGGGTGGACTAGCTGGAGGGGCTCAGGTCAAGGTCGGCCTAGGAAGGGTCTTCGGACTTCCCCTGCTGCCGCCGCAGCTGACAGGAGGGAAGCTTGAAGAATAAATGGTAACGACGACAGAAAGCAGGCAGGAGGGCCGCCAGAGGGTCCAGACACAGACGCGTTCCTGGAGCTCAGGCCGGGGAGCACAGCAAACCCGAACCCGAATGGCCCCTGCAGGGCACCCCCGGAATGTAGAAGAGAGCCTGGTCCAGAGCCGGTGTGCGGCCACCAGCTGCCCAGCGCCAGCAGTGGGTGCCCACTGGCGCCCAGACCGGTGACCTGGGCCTCTCTAGTCAGGACACTCAGGGGCCAAAGCAAGTAGAGCAGGACACGCGAACTCTGCCCCAGGAAACAAACAGCGATTTCTACCCAAAGGGCCATCAGGAAGATTTTCAGGATTATGAGACAGCCTGGTTCCACGTCTAAACTCAATATCAAAATGAAACTGCGTTTTTATGCACCCGCAACAGTTGGGACCCTTCATTCTAAAAACGCCTGTTAGAATAGCAGTAAAAATATAATGTAATTAAAAAGAAACCGGAACAAAACATATGTAGGGCTGGTCTCCTCCTTCCTGAGGGTGTCTGGCCTCGGGTCACTGGCCAGGGCGCTCGGAGGAGGGGGTGTTGCTGTGACTGTGTCGGGGCCACCCTGCCCAGCTGGTAGGCGTGCAGATGGGGGGCTGATTGTCATTCTTATCACCGCGAGCAGGTAGATAGGGTTCAGTCACATCCTCACTTCGACTGTAAACGCAGGCTTTTCACGTGGGCAGACCTGGGTTGAGTCCTCGTTGTGTGATCTCTGGCCAACCAATCCCCTCACCCTTCTGAGCAAAGCCATTGCCTTCAGCCAGGGAGGTCTGCTTGGGTCCACACAGCGGGAGGGATCTGGGACGGCCGAGCACACAGAAGCGCACTGCGTGGTCAGACTCCACAAAGTCCCCGGAGGCTGCCCTCCGTGCCTCTGACGCCCTTGTGGGACGGGCACGTGTCTGGTGCTCACTCGTGCGCATTCCAGGAACCTAAGCGGTCACAAACAACGCAGCTCTCCACTCGCCCCTTCAGGATGGAAGTCAGCGTTGGTCCGGTCTTAGTGGTCACCTCGGTGACCTCCACCACCGTCCAGCAGAGCGACTTGCAGACGGTGCTTGTTCGGGGGAGCCCTCAGAGTCAGAGGGAGGGGCGGAGCGTAGCTCGCAGGCCCCACCCGAGTGGCCTGAGGTCCAGCTCAAGTGACAAAGGGAGAGCCACTGTCAGAGGACCCCACGCTCCCACAGGTAGTGGATCGGTTGGTGCTTCATCCGGAAGCTTTTTACAAGAAGCATCTCTCAGCTTCTTGGGACGTGCAGCAGGGTGCAGCACCCCAGTAACCGCCTTGCGGCTTCCTCCTCGCGGACGAGAAAGCAACGTGGAGTAATTAGGCTTGATTGGAGTGCGCGTTTCCGGTGAGCTCTGAGATTAACGATGTTGCTATAGTGACACATCTGCGGCCGCCAGTGCGTGAAACATAAAGTAACTCATTCGACAAGAGGAGACATCTGTTAACTGCCGGGACGCAGAGGGTATCGACACTGACCAGAAATACTAGACGTGATGTGATAAATGAGCAAGCGATGCCGAAACCGGAGGGCAGGCCGTTTGTACTTAATCCGCTGGGAGAACCTGAATCTTCTCACCGGTGGCCTTTGACAGTGCCATTGTTTAAAGAACAATGCTGCAGAGAACTCATAAATTTTAGAACGGAACTCGGGGCGCAGCCTGTAGAAGCCGGACATTAACTCCCGCTCCGGAGACCGCCGTCCCCACGTAGAACAAAGCCGCTCTAAAACACGCGGAACGACAGGTTTCCTGGGACTCGATTTTAACCGCAGCATCCGTTACCCACAGAGCCACGGGGCCTGCGCTCGATCGCGTCTGCGTCTCCTGCACCGGCGCCCTCTGTGCCGGGTGGCCCGCTACGCCCACGGGCGGGGCTCGAACTGTGCAGCGCTGGCCCACCCGCCCGAGGACGGCGACGGCGTTTGCCGCTGTAGGGCACGGGTCCTGCCAGCGCAGCCGCTCAGCACTGTCCTTGAGCCTGGGCGCCCAGCCGCCCCCCAGGTGTGCTCAGACCGAACGCGTGGCACGGAGCACCACGGTCCCGAGGCAGCCCTCAGCCTGGCGCATCTCTGGGACAGCCCCTGCGCTCTCCTGCCGCGGTGTGAGCTCTGGTGCGAGGCCAAAGCCCCGTCCAGGAACATCTGACCAGACGGCTCCGCATCTGCTGCTCCGACGAGGCCTCCTCCCTGTGGTTGTGCGTCACATCTGTCACCACCTCGAGATGATGCCTGCAGGACTTCTTCCTTGAAAATTAATTTCCTTTTTGCCCGCTTTGCTCAGTGTAGTCCAAAAATCCTGCTTACTGAAGAGCTACAGCTTTTTTTTTTTCTTTCATGAATTACAAACCTTTTGTCAAAAGCCCTTTTCTGTCCATGGAGCCACCATCATGACCAGGGCATTAGGACGCTGTGACCTGGTGGCTCTCTGAGCCTCTGCCTTCCTCAGTCCTACCCCTTGGCCACGTGTCAAGTTTGGGACATGTTAACTTCTGCTATATCAAGATGACAAAAATTGTAGAAACTACCTCTTGGTCGAAACCATGACACTTACTTAAGATCTGAAAAATAAGCTTGCGTTCCTGACTCTTTAGTAGCTGGTCTAATCTGACCATATCACCTGCTGCACGAGAGGTATAGAAAGTCTGAGGCCAGCCCTGACCTTCCTGCTCACCAAACAGGAAGTTCTAGAGTCAGCTGCGAAATAACCCTTGGAATTTAAAAAAATATTGTCAGCTTTCATCTTAAAACATTAAGACATTATATGCACCACTCACCTAAAGGAATATTTACATAAATGTTTCATTTTCTTTAATCCAACAAGATGGGAATACGTTTATTCAAATGGCAAAATAACACAAATATTTATTTATTCATTTGATGAGAAATGCTAGTCATTCGAATATATCAGTTTAAAGTGCTTAAAACGTGATTTATTAGCAACTCAGCAACTTAGAAATTTTAGCAGATGCAGCAGTTGTTTGTTTCAAATGGCAGACCATCCGATGTGCCACTCTCTTAGCGTTTGGCATAACTGCCATCACACCGTCACACGGTCCACGTCGAGAACGCTGTCATCACTCTGCAAAGCCAGCGTGTACACGCCAGCGTCATCCCGCCCCCCCGCCCCCAGCTGGAGGTAACTCCCATTCTCCTTCCTGCCTGAGTAGGTCTGCCTGTTCCGGACTTGTCACATGAGCGGAGCCACACACCCTGTGTCCCCTTGTGCCTGGCTGCTTTCACCCAGCATGACGTCTTAAGGGTTCCTCCACGTCACAGCGTGTGTCATAATTCTTTCCTATCTGTTGCCGAATAAGGTTCACGGTGTGGATGGATGCAGTTTTTACCATTATCTTTCCTGCCTGAGTAGGTCTGCCTGTTCCGGACTTGTCACATGAGCGGAGCCACACACCCTGTGTCCCCTTGTGCCTGGCTGCTTTCACCCAGCATGACGTCTTAAGGGTTCTTCCACGTCACAGCGTGTGTCATAATTCTTTCCTATCTGTTGCCGAATAAGGTTCACGGTGTGGATGGATGCAGTTTTTACCATTATCTATCAGTCAATAGGCATTGGAGTTGTTTCTGGCTTTTGTTTCTCCTGAATAATGCCGCTATGGACACTCCAGGTTCTCGCCAAAAAAAAAAAAAGAAAAAAGCATGTCTGTCGTGAAGGAGAGTAAAACTAGGCATTTGTGTGTGACGTGATCTTGGTACAGAAAAGCCTAAGGAATCTTCTAAACATCTCTTAGAACCGATAAATGGTGAGGTCAGTAAGGGTTTAAGATACGAGATCAATATACCAAAATGAATTGCGTTTCTATACACTAGCAACGAAGTGATCAAAGCAGAATTAAATAAGCAATCCCATTTACAACGGCATCAAAAAGTAGTCAGTGGTTCCCGATGTGGAGACGCAGCGGGGGCCCCTAGCTGGCCACAGATTCCGCACAGCCCCTTTCAGAACCCCAGCTGCAGAAGTGAGCTGGCCAGTGCTGACGTTCTCGGGAATCAAGGGACCCGTTCCAGGACCTTCTTGGAAAAAGCCGAGCGGGAGGACAGACTCTTCTCGTTCAGACGCCTTGCGACGCTGCGGGGATCCTGACGGCGTGGTCCTGGCAAAGCAGGGGACAGAGCTGTGGGTCCAGGAACAAACGTTTATGGTCGGTCGGGTTTCGACAAGCATGACGCGCATACACGCGCACAGCAAGGCGACGCCCACGTGCCACTGCGGGCTCCCAGGCAGCATCTCTGCACGTTAAATGCCATTGTTGCCAGGAAAGGGGACATTTGACAATAATAAGACATCCAGAATCAGCATTTTTCCTTCCAAATCAACCCTCTTACTAACAGAATATCACGTGTGCCCAGGAAACAAAAATCAGTTACCCGTTAATGGGTGTTTTGTAGCCGTGGGCAGATAGCCTTTCTCGTCGTTGACCGGCTGTGTTGTTATTCTGCTGACGTTGGTGCCCCGTCTGTCGTGGACCACCCTCCCGTGCCGCAGAATAAGCCGGGAGGCCCAGGATACAGCCCTGCATTCCCCTCCGGCGCCGCGGCCGTGCGTGCCCCCCCAACGCTGCTCCTGTGAGACCAGCCGTCGACACGCGCACATGAGTCGTCTGTGTGTCTCTGCTGAGTGAGGTGTATACAGCATTTAGGGTCTCCTTCTAGAGCAGGGCATCTTGAATCTGTGTGCCACTTTTAAAGAAAACTCACCAGGCGTCATCTCTGAGTGCCTGCCAGGGATGCCACTGCCCCGCCCTGGCCTGTGTGTGTCATAGGAAGCTCTCAGAACAGTGACCCGCCGCGCACTCTCTGCAACTGCCTCCCTAGGAGCCCAGAGGCCAGTGCTGGTGTTGGGCCCAGCCGGCTGGTGGCCCCGAGTGACCCTCCTGCACTCGGCCACTGGGGCCAGTGCGACCTGAGCATACGTGGCCGCTCCCTCACGCTCCACTGGTCCAGCCCGTGCTGCGCGTCACATGCGTCCGGTTTCGTTCCGTGAAAAATCCATTGAGAACCTATTTTCAAAATAGGTTTTTCTGAAACCTAGACATGCCAATTGGGGTCCAGGTGACATCCGGTTAGGCTGTGCTCGTGTGTGACCGCAAAGCTGGCAGCTGCGCCCTGTGGTCTCTTGCCCGGCCCTCCGGGATGGGGCCGGCCTGCACGCGCACCTCATGCAGGTCTGAGCTGACAGGTACGGAGCAGACGTTCCATGGAACCGAAAGTTCCTGAAGAGCTAATGACATCGAAGAAGAGATGCGCTTGTCCCCAGCGGTAACGTGAAAAGAGAGGCACGTGACATTTCAGGAGACTTTGCGTCACGGAGTAGAACGTTGTGGAGGCAGAGGGGTGCTCAGAGGTGAGGGGCACCAGCCCCGGGGCACGAACTGTGCGGGCTCCAACGCCATGGTGTCCTCGCTCAGCCACCGGCGTGCACTTACTTGCTGTGTCACTGTCCTGTCGTAGGAACCCTCACCCGGAACGAGATGGTGTTTAAGCGGCTGCACCTGGGCACCGTGTCCTACGGCACAGACACGATGGACGAGATCCAGAGCCACGTCAGGGCTTCCTGCTTGCAGGTAGGCTGCCGGCCCCCGCTGAGCCCGTCCCTGCTCATCTGTACGTTACCAAACCTCTTCGGTTGCTTTAAATTCTAAATAAGCGTTCCTGTGTCATAGAACCATAGAAGGCATATGACCTCAAATGACTCACTCACAGTGAACGTTCTTAGCGAATCGTTTGCGAGAATCTTTCAGTAGCAGTATTTGAGGGATGCAGAGCAGAGCGCTGCATCGGGCCGGCGTCTTAACAGCCTGTCGGCCCGCACTGTGCGTGAGCCCTCCTTCTCCACCCTCGTGTGTGCCCCCGTCAGTAAGCACACGTGGGAGGCCCAGCCCCCCCGCACCCTCCACCACCAACTTGCTCTGAGGTGAAGCCCACATGTCGCGTCGTTTCCCCTGTCAGTCTGTAGTGTGTCCAGGAGGTAAGGCCTCTCTCTTCGGCATGACCTAAATCTCGTCTTTATCACCAGGGCCTCACAGTCTGTCTGGGGTGGAGGAACGGGGGGCGCTTTGCTTCTGCAGGATGCAGCCAGACCATACGGGCAGCAGGCTCCCTGCCGTGGCTGTGGCCTGCGGCCCCCTGGCCTCCCAGGCTCCTGATGATCGTCGGCCAGTGCGTGTGCACAGATCCTGCTGGGGTCGGCAGAGGGCCTCAGACAGAGGCCACTTTCCGGGGGTCGCTTTCTAAGCCCCACGGTTTCTGTAGCTCTTTTCACACATAGCGTGTATGTTCATTCACTTGGGTTTCATCTTACCGGTCCCGTGCCTGGCAGTCTCTGACTCAGAGTCAGGACACCTGGCCAGGCAGGGGACCGCAGCCCGCGTTGGCTGCGCTGCTCCCCGGGCTGTGCCCTGCCTCGCTGTCTTACTTGTGGAGGCCAGTCATGCACAATACGACAACCAGGCATACGGGCCGCAGAGGCGCACACCACGCACGCGCACAGTCCTAGCCCCGTGGGCCCCCGTGGGGGCAGCAGGGGATCTACCCGCAGAGGCTGGCAGGCTGCTCGTGTGTCCAGTCCCTTGTTTCCAGCTTGGTTCTGCAGACTGGACAGAACTGCACTGGCCCTCTGCCATTCCCTTTCTGAGGGACCCAAGGTGTGTCGTCAGCCCCGTGTTGGTCTCGTGAAAACCTCCCCTCTGTTCTGTGACAGTTTCTGGTCTGCCATAGACTTTACTTTTCAGATGCTGTCAAATGAAAAAATCTCACATGCGTAGATATTTATTCCATGTGATGTTTACACACACAAGTGCACCGACTTGCCAAACACTTAGAACCAAGCACTTTATTTATTCAAATGTCACGTACTTCAATGCAAGTGTTTTGTGACCTGGAATATTTATTGATAGAAGAAGCCTTCCTTCGCCTAGTATCTGTGTCCGGACTGAAATGGTGCCAGGTGACATCTATTTTTTAAAAAATTATATTATTCACGAATGTGATTTGAACAGCTTCAAATAAGTGAATTTACTAGGAAAAAGCAGAAAAATGAGTCATATAACAACAGCAAATATATTTACTTCTATCTAAGAGGACCTAAAGATTTTTTTCTCTGAAAGCTCTCCACTGAGCACCCGGTTAGACAGGACTTCCTAGGTGAAGCTGTCTTCCTCGTGTTTGCATCGTAGCTGAGAGGACAGTGGTCCGCGAGGTCCCTATACGGCAGCACAGTCTTTGTGGCCTGATTCTGCTCCCCCACCGGAGGGTCCAGTGACGGAGGGCACGGTCTATAATGGGATCCGTGTGAAATCTCATTGTGCAGCCGTCAGTAAGCACAGCGTAGTCCGGAAGGCGGGCGCCAGCGCGTCCCTCTGCTGGACCGGCAGCGGGCGAGCAGCTCGCAGATGTGGGTCTGGCGCTCGCTGACAGGGCGCCAGCTGAGCAGAGAAGTAAACCCTCCATTAGGCAGCACTGTAATTTGATGGGCAGGGAGATCACGGCTCAGCGGCTCGGCACACCCCATGTGAAAGCAACACACTTGGCTTCTAAGGAGGACTGTCACGAGCGGCTCCGAAGTTACTCAGGAAATGCTTGACAGTCCTGTCGGGGTCAGGGGCAGCGTCCCCTCCCCCTCCCCCGAGCAGGAGGTGAATAATACAGTCTCATCCGAGTGGCTGGTGCAGTGAACCCGAGCGCAGCTGAGTGCGAGCAGAGCCAAGCAGGCAGCGGGGCTGAGTGGGCGGCTGCCGGAGGGGCCAGGATTTTGAGATGGCGCCCGGGGGCCATTCTCCCTCAGCACGCGGTGACACCGTCTTGCAGTGTGACCCATAGAAGCAGGCATGGAGCTCAGGGACTCGGTACAGGCTGACTTGTGTTAGGGGAGGGCGCGTACTGCGCTACGTAGAGTGTTTTTTTCAGAGAAAAATGGAAGCAGTTGTGAGTATGGGATACCATTCCGTTCTGTTCTTTAATTTACAGTTTTTACGAGTAGTGAATAAACAGGAATCATTAAGGACCTAGCAGATTAATGCCACACTGAAAATGAACCTAGTGAGAGGAAACGGTCCGATTTTAAGTATTATAGCAAATATTGTGACATACTTGACACCCGGGAGGTATCAAAGTGCTTTGCAGTGTCGGATGGAAAAAAACCTTATTCTAGGAATAGAGCCTGGGGGAGATGGCCAGAAGCAAGGCAGAGATGGAGCGTGTGCCTGTCCCCGCCCCCGCCCCCCTGGCGAACAGGCCTTTAAAGACAGCGCATGTTAGCAGTTCGGTACGGACCGCTTCATCTGTGATTCTGTGGTGCTCCATCTTTTACAGCTGCCTTCCCCAACTGGTGGAAACAGCACCAGTTCAACTCCACCAAGAAAAGCCCAGCCTTCAGCTCCCAAAGTTAGAAAAAGTGTCAGCAGCCGAGTGCACGAAGCAGTGAAGGCCATTGCGCTGTGCCACAACGTGACGCCGGTGTATGAGTCACGAGCCGGCGTCACCGCGGAGACCGAGTACGCGGAGGCGGACCGAGACTTCACTGACGAGAACCGCACCTACCAGGCCTCCAGCCCCGATGAGGTCAGTCGGCCTCTTAGGCAGCATCTCACGATGTCGCCGTGTGTGTTACCTTGGACTCGAAGGCATGAGCGTGAGTCCTCACTGGGGGGTGAACGGGGGGCTCTTCCCCCCTGGCTGTGTCTCGGCACCAATGGGAGGGAACAGCAGGTGGCAGCTGTCCCGAGCTCTGGGCCACGCGTGCCCAGAGTCTGACAGCCGCTGGAACTCGGTGCTGCCACGACGGGCCGCCTCACTAGGCTTTTTCTTATCTCCAAATGAACCGTCAGCTTTGCACATTAAATTCCCAGTTACTTTTGCCAGCATTTGGATAAAGTGCATCTGTTTCAAAAGAGGATTAGGATGTAAATAATTTTTCAAATCTACAGAGGACTGAAATGGGGAAATCTTAAATAGGATGATGCATCGTTTCAACCTTTACATTAGTCCTTGATTTTCAGGTCGATAAAAATCCGTTCTGCAACTAATTAGCCCGGGTCCTGTCCGGTCCCGGTACGTCTTACATACAGCTTGCTTGTCGTCTGTCCACTCGGGGTCCCTCAGGTGACGCTGTAAGGTAATCACAGCACCCATGGAAGCAGTGTGAGCCCGCAGGCGCCTTCCAGCACGCTGTGAAACGGGCTTGTGGAAGTCAGTAACCCCCAAAAAGTACCTCCAGAGTTAAATCGTATCTGACCAAGTGTTTGAAGGCGAGGAGGCCGGTGAGTCTCGTTAACGTTCACTTCAAACAGGAAAAGCCTTTCACTGTGGTAGCGTCTCACTCGGGAGATGGGGTGCCACCTCACCCACCCTGGGTGCACGCCATCAGACAGACAGACAGGGCGGGGGATGGACCCCGGACGCGGCCACTGAGCACAGCCGGGTGCGGGGTGACACAGGGCAGAGCCCAGCCTGCGGACCGGCCGAGGGCAGTGGAGCGCACGCGGCGAGTTTGCAGGGTTGGGGGAGGCGCCGCGCGTGTGACCGCAGAGCTGGAGTGCGCCCCGAGGCAGAGGACCGAATCGCCTCTGCGTGTGTGGCCGGCGCCACCTCCGCCCCCAGCAGGCGTCTCTGTGTCCGTGTGGACTCCGCGAAGCAGAGAGGCAGGATGGCCAGGATGCCATCGTCCTTTCCCGGGGGATGGGTGTGACCATGGCCCGTCGGGCCCGGCCTCACAGCAGGCGGGCTGGCGGCCTCGCGCTCGTCCTGCCTGGGCGCTTGCCTCTCCCGCGTGCGGGCCCGGGCCCGGTGCGGGCTGGGCGGGCCTCGGTGCCCAGCCCAGGGAGTGGCGCCCATGCTGGGATGCTGACACGGAGCTCCCGTCGGAGCAGGCAGAGCCTCCGAGTGCACAGGTCGCCAGCTCCAGGGATCAAGGCGCAGGATGACACAAACCTTGAAGACCTTTGCCCTCTCTTGATCCAGAGGCATCGGTGGGTGGTGATTGCCAACGACGGCTGACGCCTGTCCACCTGCTGTTGGTGGTGGCGCTCTCCCCGGCCGGGGCCATAGCCTCCCACGTAGGCAAGCTCTACATTTAAATATTCTTTCAAGGGGTAGATGTCACCTCCTCACTGGGACAGCCATAGGCAAGAATCTGCTAAAATTGGTGACAAACCGCAAGCGGAGTATTTAAAACTAGAAGAGAGTCATGTCCTGGGAGCTCTGAGCAGCGCGCTCCTGACGTCAGCCTCCCTCTGTGACCCTCGGGGCAGGGAGAACACGGGCTGCGGGGCCTGCCGGAGGTGTTGATGGGCAGCCTTGCTAGGCAATCGGAGTGTTTTACGTTCACAATTCTGTTAAATTATATCGCG